CAACTCACAGCTCAGCAGCGTCTATGCGGGCACCTTCCACAGCTCTGTTTCATAGGATGAGATACAGCTTAAGAGGGTAAGTGGAGCAGGAACCAGTGCCACAGGCCTGTACTCCCGCTACTCAGGAGGCTGAGCCAAGGAGAGCCCAAGTTCAAAACTTGCCTGAAAGCGGAGTGAGTTTGAAGCCAGCCGAGGCAAATTAGTGAGACTCTTTGTCAAAATAAAAAGTCAAAAGAGCGGCTGTGGCTGTGGCTGTGGCTCGGGTAGAGAAGTTCCCTCACATCCCTGAGGCCCAAGGTTCAGTTCCTAGTTCTGGGGAAAAAAAATGGCCTCAGACATTGTGGCAGGAGCTGAGGAGATGGCTGTCTATAAAGCACTTGCCTCGCAAGTGTGAGGACACAACTTTGATCTCCAGACTCACCTGAAAAAGCTAGACATGGTAGTGAGTGCTTGTGACCCTGGTGCTGAAGACATAGAGGTAGACCAACCCCAGGAACTCTCTGGAGAGCCAGTCTAGCCTCAATTAGTAAGCTCCAAGGCAGCCAGACACTGCATCAAAAAAACAAGGTGGGTGTGGCTGGGGAAAGGGGAAGCTGGAGAAGAAATGGTTCAGCACTCAATAGCACTTGCTACCCATGCAGGCCTGAGGTTTGCTTCCCTGCACCCATATGGAGGCTCGCAACCTCCTAGAACCCCAGTTACAGGGACCCCAATGCCTTCCCTCATGCCGCCCCCTCTCAAATAAAATAATAAAATAAATCTGAAAAAAAAAAGAGAGAAGATGGCCAGCACCTGAGGACTGACACCCAAGGTTGTCGTCTGGTTTTTACATGTATGAGCACACACAGGAAACCACGGTGCCATCAGTTTTCAGGGCTGGGTGCTGCCATCACCCCATCTCTGAAAGCATGTCTTGTTTCCTAGGTATGTGCATAGGAAAGAGTGACCCAGGTTGTCTGGCCTTCTTCTCGGTTGTCCCCGTGTTGGCCTCACCTGGGTCAGTACTCCCCAGGGCCTTTACCTCACTCCCCTGGAGTGAGGAAGATGTGGTTTGGCAGGGGAAGTAAAGCTGTGAGAAGGAGATGGCCTTGCTTTCTATCAGCCTTGTTCTTCCCAGAACTTCTGACAGGCTTGTTGGGAGGCATTCCACCATCTCTGTCCACTCACACCTTCACCAACAAGGAGCTGATACTTCCCCGTAGGCAGCTGGAGCACCCCACTCCCAACAGAGGTGTTTCTGGAGTAGCAGGATCCATGCCTGCCACTCTCCTTCATTTCATCAAAGACTCCAGCTTCCAGCCAATGACAAATCCATTACAAATGGGGACGCGATGGTTGGTAATAGGGATGAGAGTGGGACAATGTTAGTGACTCCCACTTCCTGCCTTGGTAACTGTCCCCTCCCCAGAGATGCCTTTGTTCCTGCTGCCCCTGTGCTTCAAGTCTATAGTCCTTACTGATCCTGCTCACATCCTCGTTTTCTCTAGTACCTGGTGGAGAGATTGCATCTCTTTATGTGATAGGAAGCCAACGATCACTCCTAGCTCTCCCTTTGGGTCCCTAACAGGGAGCTGGGTATGCATAAGGTGACTCAGAGTAGACACCATGGACTCAGAGGACACTAAGCTTAGGAGACCACTTCTCAGAGCCTGTGGAAAATACCAGGGTTGAGACAGAAACCTTTATATTTTCAAATTACCATTGTTCCAAATTACAACAGTGCAGGGCACAATGGTGCACACCTTTAATCCAGAGGTGGGCTGAACTCTCTGAATCCCAGGCCAGCCTGGTCTACATAGTGAGTCCCAGGACAGCCAGGGCTACATAGAGACACCGTGTCTCAAAAAGCCAACACTCAAAAGAATTACAATTAGGCAATACCTTTTGATTGTCTGTCTGTCTGTCTGTCTGTCTACTTACTTATTTTGTTTCTATGAGACAGGTTTCACTGTGTATCCCTGACTGTCCTGGAACTCATGCTATAGATCAGGTTGTCTTCAAACTCAGAGATATGCTTACTTTTGCCTCTTGAGTGGATTAAGGGTGTGTGGCACCATGCCAGGCCTCATTTTGTTTTTTTGAGACAAGTTTTTTCTATGTAGTCCTGGCTGTTCTGGAACTCTCCGTAAACCAGTCTGGCTTCAAATTTAGGGATCCACCTGCCTTTGCCTCCCAAGTGTTGGGATTATGTTCTAGGCACATAAGTTCTAACTCACCTGATTTTGAAGCAAGATAGAAATCCAGAGGACATTATAGAACTCTAGGAAGGGAAAGGAACCTAGTTTGGTTCACTTCTTTCAACAGCTGAGAAGCAGAAATCCCAGCACAGCATCTGCAGTGAAAGATGTGGCCACAAAGATACATCTCTTTCACATATAGATTTTCTATGTTATAATAGGAGTAAACTAAGTTTGAGGCCTTAGCTAGAGCCCTTCTCTTTTCCTAGACATATTCTGAGAGTCTCTAACAAGACAATTTACTTTGTTTACAGTGGAGACATCCTGTCTTCCTGTATCCTGTGATCTAGAATGTTACCTTATCCATTAGAACCTTGTCTGTGCCCCTCAGGACCACCCTGTGTGTTCATTTTGTTTTCTCAGAAACCCTTTCAAAAGAAGACATTTAGAACCAACCTAAATGCTATACATGGCTATTGTAAAGACAGCAAGGCTGTGTCTCTTAGATAAGCCACACTCCTGCTCTCTGCTGTCTCTTCTCTAGCTTTTCTCATTTTTCTCTTAATTCTTGTGTTTTAAACATATTAAAAAACAAAACTCATCAGGCAGTGGTGGCACAATTAATACCTTTAATCCCAGCACTTGGGAGACAGAGGCAGACAGATCTCTGAGTTTAAGGCTAGCATGGACTACAGAACCCAGGACAGCCAGGGCTTCACAGAGATACCCTGTTTTAACAACACACACACACACACACACACACACACACACACACACACACACACCCCTCTCCTTCTTTTAATAAACCCGAACTGTCCTTCATATTGGCTTGTCCTGAAATTACTTTCTGCTGTGAAGCTAGGAATCTTGAGTTTGCCAGAGTGGAGTTCTCTGAGAAGAACCCTTGGGGTTGCTGCTGGTGACAGATGGCCCAGGGGAGGGAGGGGAGGTTAACATTACAGCAGTCTGAGGCCAAGTGAGTGGGGTTTCCAGAAGTGAAACTTCAGTTTCCTCATCAGCAGGGACACTCAGACCGGGTAGCTCTGTCAGAGCAGTCGTCTCTGCCCTGCATGTCACAAGCTCCAGTTCTCCAGCCTCTGAGAGACCAAGAGGGATCCATAGAATTGGCTCGTTGGTGCCAAAGAGGATCTGCTCCCTCTTCTCTTCTTTCTAAGGTCGCAGTTAGCTACCTTAGGAGTCATCCCAATGATATCCAGGAGTGGACAGAAGGACATGGGGGCTGGGGTAGTTGTGGAATAAAGGAAAGGAGAAAAGAAACAGACAGAAAAAAACTTCCCAGCACAACTTGTGGCCTTTGCTGTCTTTCTGTTCTCTATTAGTATTGAGCAATAACCCTGAATCAGGGCCAAGGCTGGCCTTCAGCAGTGCCTCCAAACCAATCTGCAGGAAGAAGAGAATGCAGAGAAAGATGTTTTTCAGGCCCCCAAAATGGCCTCCCTCTCTGCCCATCTCCCCCTCCCTCTCAGATTCTCCCCACCCGCAGGAACCAGCTCTTTCTGTCCCATGATGGGTGTAGAGGAAGTGGGACAGCTGCCTGCCAGCACTCCTCCCAGCCAGCTGGCTGCCCACTGCGGGTCAGTGTACAGAGATACCAGGGCAATGGTTCAGACACCAAATGGCAGCCCTGGGAGCAGAGGGTCTTGCTTTTGCCTAAACCATGCAGTGGTGCTCAGAGATTTTTTTTTTTTTTTTTTAGGATGGCTTATTGGGAGTTGATAAAAGTCTCTGACAAGGTATGGGGCTGCTAGCCCCTTCGGGATAGTAACTTCCAGGCTATAATTTTCAAGAGTCAGTTTTTAGGGGTGAGAAGATGGCTGAGTCAGGAAGTACTTGCCATGCTAGCATGAGGATCTGAGTTAGATTAATATCTCACATAAAAAGCTGGCTGTGGTGCCACATGTCACCCCAGAGCTTGGGAGGTAGAGACAAGAGGATCCCTAGGACTTTCTAGGCAGCCACCTAGTTAGTTGGTATGTTCCAGGTTCAGCAAGAGACCCAGTCTCAAAAAATAAAATAAATAAGGTGGAGGGCTGGGCATAATGACATATATCTTTAATTTTAATTCTAGCATTTGAGTGGCAGAGGTAAGCAGATCTCCGTGGTCCCAGGCCAATCATGAATACGTGTGTGTGTGTGTGTGTGTGTGTGTGTGTATAGTATATATGATATATATATATGATATATATTTTTATGTATATATTGTGCATCTGCATATATTCATGCACATACAAACATGCAAGCACACCCCACAGACACACACCCTAGTCAATTTACATTTGATGTTTATCTGACTTGGACAGTTGGTTGAATGAGCAGCCATTTGCACTGTGGACATAACTACTTTCTCCAACAAGAGTAAAATAGAAAGCTGAGATGGCGGTACATGCCTATAACCCCAGTATCTGGGAGGTCTAGGCAGAAGGATCATAAGTTTGAGGCCAGAGTGGGTTACATAAGTGGTTCAAGGCCAGCCTAAACTACCTATGAGACCTTACCTCAAAGCAAACAAAAACAAAAAATTCTCAACCATGAAAACTCAATAAAAAGTGAGCATAGGGCTTGAACATAGACCTTTCAAGACTCTAGAGTCTGGAGAACATACATAAACTATCAGCTCTGTTTTCACTTTTCTTGTTGCCTTGGCAAAAGCAACCCAAGGAAAGGACACTTATTCAGCTTGTGGTTTAAGACAACATAGACTCTCATGAGGGGAAAGCGTGACAGTTCACTCGCAGTTGGGACTCCTCACCCCTGGGCCACTCGGACAGCAAGAAATGTTGACACTTTTTCCCTCCTTTTCAGACTGGGCCCCTAATCTAAGGACAGCACTGTGACACCTTCCACCTGTTTACACTGTTCCTACTGCCATCTGATGCCAACTTCCAGGGACTGTGAGTGAGAAGTGTTTTGTTGAGTCCTGATTCCTAGTGAGAGAAAACAGGAAACTGCTGTTGCAATCCACCAGTTACACAGTAGAGTACTGGACCACCTGTGAAAGGATATCAGGAAGTTACAGAGTAAACATTGTCTGGGGAAAACAAATGTCTATTCATCCCAAATAGGGCTCCAACAACAGATCAAAGAAACTACTCCACCAATCTGGTTAATTTTTGTCCCTTTGGCACAGCTAGAGTCATCTGGATTGAGAAAATGGCTCCATCCCCCTGACCTGAAGATACGCCTATGGGGTATTCTCTTGATTTATGATTGATGTGAGAGGACCCAGCCCACTCTGGGTGGTATCATCCCTGGGCAGGTGGTCCTTGGTTGTATAAAAAGGCAGGCTGAGCAAACCATCAGGAGCTAGCTAGTAAGCAGTGTTCCTCCATGTCTTTGTTTCAGATCCTGCTTCTAGGTTCCCCCTGCCTTGAGTTGAGGCTGTGACTTCCTTCACTATGAAGTGTGAGTCAAATAAAGTCTTTCCTCCCCAAGTTTCTTTTGGTCATGGAGTTTTGTTGTGGTGGTAATAGCTTAAGATACTACTCAAGCCTAGCTTTGTGAATCAGTGAGTTTTATTAAGGGTTCTTGCAGGAGTATGAATGAGGGGTTACTTTACAGGGGCATGGGCAACTTATAAGTGGCTATATTATTAAAGAAAAATGTCTTGCACCACCAGTAACTGCTAATATATTTGCAGGGAGGGACAGGGTATTGTAAGGCTGTACCATTGACTGTTTATACATCCTTGAGGTGCTTGGCCTTATGAGGCCCTCTGTCATTCATGATGGAAAGTTAATGGGCCCAATCTTGTTTAGGCATACTGTGTTTAGCTTAGCTGCAGAGAATTCAAGACAGCAATGGCCGTATCCTTCCCTGAGGATAGTATTCCAAAACAACTTTCATTCACACAGGAAGGTAGAAAGTAAGAGGTCTTGTGTACACAGACAAGTACTAGAGAAGCCAGGAAACAGAAACATGCATGCTTGTCTCTTCAAACTAAGGAGATGTTTGCCTGTTTTCCTCCCAGAATGCTGGGAAAGGATGAAGTTTACAACCTGGTGATTTTTTTGCTATCTGTAAGAGCAAAAGCTTCACCTGAATCCCCTAGAGTACTGTTTGTTTATCCCAGACTTTTCCTCCATAAATCTTTGAGTGTTGCTTCTTAGTCCATAAAGACCCATCTTTATGAGAGATATTACTTATATTTACAACAGCTAAGTGATTTCTATGTTGTCTTAGGGCCAGGCCAATCCTGACTGCCATAGGCATTATTTTTTACCTCAGTCATTCTCCCTAGACCCTTGTTTTGTCCATTATTTCTAAATCAACAGACTCCATCTCTATGAAAGATGAAAGAACGAGTTTTGATGTAAACACATCTTAAGCTTTGCTGAACATACAGGACCGAGTTAATTGCCATCAGGGAACTTTTTTTCCCCCAAAATTGTTTTGTTTTTCTTTTCCTGATATTTTGAGACAGGGTTTCTCTGTGTAGCCCTGGCTGTCTTAGAACTCACTCTGTAGACCAGGCTGGTCTTGAACTCATGGAGATCTCCTTGCCTCTGCCTCCCGAGTGCTGGGATTAAAGGCATGTACCATCACTGCCTGGCTTGTGCTGTACTAAAATATGGCTAAAATAAACTGTCTGGTGTCAAATTACAGAAGTTTGGCCCAGGATCAGCAAACTAAATCATGTTGAAACTAGTTTCATTCTTACCTCACCAGGATCATTTCCCTGGTATGCTTGCAGGGACCCCCCACACAGTTACAAGAACTAAATTCCTTCTGTAACCAACTACAGATTGAAAATCAGCTGTGCAGACCAATCTCCGCCCCTTTTATCAGAGACTCATAAGTATGGTTCCTGTAGTTTTGTTACTCAAAACTACAGTCTTTCACCTGATTAGTTGTGGTAAGTGCTTTTCATTGAATGACCCAAAGTCTGTCTTCTACAGGAGAGGCCTTGTTAGTCTTGTAAGTTTCAGAAGCATCTTGAGACTTGTGAGTTGTCTACTCCCACAGCCTGGTAAGTTCCATTTAGTGTTCTGAATTTAATGTAGAGAAAATTATTACACAACAAAAGAGCAAATCTGAGATGTGAAGTTTTTTTGTTTTTGATGCTCCAATTTATGGATGTGGGGGTAAAGGTGTGATGTATGGGTCATCTGTGACCATTTTAATACCCTGAGAAAAGATGCTATAAGAACTGTAAAGACCACAGTCCAGAGCTCCTCCAGTCTTCCTATATGAGACACAGTTTCTTTATCATTCATGCTTATCTATCTGCAATTAAAAGCACTCCCATGTCACCAAGACTCTCATTTTCTTAACTTTCTTGAAAAGCAGGGGAAGTCATTTTTGTCTTCCATGTTGAGTCAAGTGATTTTGTTTGTTTGCTTTTGTTTTTGAGCTAGAGTTCTGGGGTGTTAAGAACATGCTGTGTGCCCAGCTCCAAGTTCCTCCATATTGTATAAAACGCTGTTTTTCCCCTAGGTTAAACTTGCGTGTAATGACTCCATTTTACATGCAGTGTTTAGCTCCATTATGTATGCAAAGACAAAGGCAGGTAATCAACTTCACCACTCTTATACCATAGATAGGCACAGACTGATAAACCACTTATTTCTAAAAGTGAACAGAGTGATTCCCTATAAAAATTGGGGCCGGGCAGTGGTGGTGCACACTTTTAATCCCAGCATTCAGGAAGCAGAAGCAGGAAGATCTTTGAGTCCAAGGCTGACCTGTTCTACAGAGTGAGTTCAAAACTAGCCAGGACTACCCTGAGAAATTCTGTCTTGAAAAAAAAATCAAAGTTGGGACCATTGAGAAATGGGTGAATTAAAATAATCAAGAAAACCAAGCCTAAGAACTTAATAAACTCACCAGAGGGAGGAAAGGGCACAGAACCCTCACCTGGACCCCATCAAGAGGAGGACGCTTAACACAGATGGTAATTGCCCTTCTGACCCATCACCTGCCATCTCATAAGGAGTATGTAAAGATGTTGACAAGCAGAGAACTCTCAGCTGTCCCAACCGTATTTAAATTACCCCATCTCCCCTGTTCATCCGTCAGGACCTGCTATCCCTTTGTCTACCAGTTCATCTACCTGAACCTAGTCGGGTCTTTTGCCTCTATGACAGCCATCCATGGTCCCATACTTTGACTCAGCAGCTCAACTCCACATTGAGGGCTGCCTGAGCACTGACTCTTTGGCTAAACTCTGCAGAAATGTCTCCCTCAGACCTCTAGCAGGTTAGTCAGTTGACTACACCCTACTTCTCTCCTTTGTATTACTCCCGCAGAGATTCTGCATTTTCATCTATCTTTCATATTTGCTTATAAAGAGGTCTCTTTGGAGCTCATCAAATTCTGCTGTAAACCATTGTAATCATCAGCAAGTTTCTCTCTCCCTACCACCCCCTCCCCCGCTCACGCGTGTTCATTTATATTTCTGACACAGTATGGTCACTACATGGTGAGTGCTTTTCTCTGGGTGTGGTATGATCATTGGTTGCCAGAGGGCATCCTACAGTCATGTCACCAGGCCCGAGTGTCAGCTATGCCAGCATAGCTGACTGAGTTCCTTGGATTGACGGAGGGCTGAGGGCGAGAGAAAGAAAGACAAGGAGTCATCTGGTAAAGAACCAAATGCTGTATTTTCAACCGCATAGCTCCCTTTTATACTCCCCACAAAACAGGAACACAAACAAGAACAGGGATCAAAACAGGAACAAGGAGATACATTCGGCAGCCTACCACCCAAGCTTGGATTTCTCCTTGAGCAGTCTTCTCAGGGAAATGTATAGAGATGGGGGAACGGGCACAATAGCACAAGTGCTACCTGCTACATTCTACTGAAACCAGGAAAGGATGACTAGTAGAGACACTATTTTATTCAAGTCTAGGCTTTGGGAGTTGAAGGACTCTTTCACAGGAGTTACCTAAGACCATTGGAAAACATAGATATTTATATTGAAATTCAGAACAGTAGCAGAAATACAGTTATGAAGTAGCCATGAAAGTAATTTTATGGTTGAGGGTCACCACAACATTAGGATCTGTATTAAAGAGTTGCAGCATTAGGAAGGTTGAGAAACATTAGCCTAGACTGTCCTCCTACCCCAGTCTCTTAAGTGCTGGCATTGCAGAATGTGCCACTATGCCCAGCTCCAGTCAGATTTTATCTCCTAGAGCTGGACATACAGGTGGAGAGGGGAGGAGGGTGCCATTGCCTCGAGGTTGAGCTGGTCTGAGAGTAGGATTTTTGGCAATCTTGTCTTGGAGTACAGCCTAATCTGACTCTCAACACAACACAGCCGGAGGATTTCCCACAGTCCTTGGGCCCAAAATATGTGACGGATCAAAGTTACCTTTCCTGGCCTGGCAATCAGAGACTCCTCTGATACTATAGCTGGCAAGGGTGAGAGATGACCTTTGTCATGGCTGGTGAGTTAAATCACGGGATGACTCTGTCACTGGTGATCTGTCATATCTTTCTTCTTTAACTTATTCCCTGAAGACAAATGGTTGGAAGACTCATCCATGCTGTATATTCTACTGACACAGGATATAGTCTCTGAACATCTCAAAACACTACTGGCAGGTGAGATGCCCAGAGTGAGCAACAAATGGCCTTGCCCACACCTGACAGTCCACAGGTGTCCAACTTATCAGAATACTCTGGTGACCCAGAGTCACGTGGCTCCCTGGAGGGTGGTTTAGTGGATGAGCAAGAGGTGTGGGGTAGAAGACAAGGCTGAGCTGAAGAAGATTTTGTTATGTATCCTAGGTTGGTCTTGAACTCACTATATAGCCAAGGATGAATTTGAACTCCTGATCTTCCTGCCTTCACTTTTCAAATGTTGAGATTACAAGCTTATGCCATCTTGCTTGGTTTTCTGCAGTGCTGGGGATTAAACATTGAGTTTTGTGTGTGCCATGCAAGCACTCTATCAACTGAGCTACTTTTTCAGCTCAAGCCACAGAAGATCCTGCTTTTCGTGACACAGTAAGGGACAGATCCATTTTCTTTGTTGTTACTGCTTTTGAAACAGGGTATCATGTAGCTCAGCTGGGCTTTGAACCTGTGATCCTCCTGCTTCTACCTCCCAAGTGTTAGTACTGCAGGCATGCACCACCATGTCTGGCTTGGGTTGAAGATCTTCAGACCATAGATATGCTGCCAGCACCTCTACCCCCTTGACTTGCTTCCTGCTGTAGATATGGCTGGAGCTACAGGGGAGGCCCGAGAAAGCTGAGAATTCTGGCCTCTAAAGAGACATGATTCAATTTTTCTCTCCAGCTCCTTGGGAGGCTGAGCTGCTGGGAAATTCCCTGGGAGGTTGGTATACACTCTTCCTGCCAACTTTCCTGGAACCTTCCATACAGTTAGCCAGGAGAGGATGCCTGTAGGGCTCTGGAACAGCAAATCCTCTCTTCTCTCACCCACAGAGGAGCAGGAAAGGCTCCTGCCTTCTCCTGGCCAAATGCCTTCAATAACAACAATACCAAGTAGGAGTTGGTTTGCCATTAGTGAATCCTTTGAATGTTCTAGGCAGGCTTTACACATACTATCTCATCTAGCCTTTGAAGAGCTAACAAAACAAAACAATCGCCCTAGGACAATAGTTCTCAACCTATGGATCACGACTCCCACAGGGGTCACATATCAGATATCCTGCATGTCAGTTATTTATATTACAACTCATAATAGCAGCAAAATTACAGTTAGGAAGTAGCAACAAGAACAGTTTTATGGTTGAGGGGGTCATTGTAATGTGAGGAAACTGTATTAAAGGGTTGGCAGCATTAGGAAGGTTGTGAACCACTGGCCTAGAAGGTCACACCAGCCAGGATATGCCGTGGCAGAAATCCCACTCAGGTTAGTTTACCATCTCCCCTACTTCACATTGTCTGTTTCCATGATGTAGAGGGAAAAATCTACAGCACAGTGCACAGGGCACTAAAAGCTCTGGTCCCCACCACCTCTCACTTCCTTCTGATGCTTTAGCCAGTGCATGCGTTTCACACCACCCTCTGCATATGCCATTCCCTCTGCCAGGAAAGTCTTTGGCACCCCCATTCAGTCCTCCCATTCTTCCTGACCAAATTCTATCAGTGGCCCAAGACTCCACTCCCTCTCATGGGCCTACACCTTCAGTTAAGTTCCAGAGCCAGGGTTTGGGTGAAAATTCTCATAGAATTCTCGTGGAAGCCATCACTGCTGCACGACAGGACTGACTCAGCCTTACTTCCTCCAGCCTCATAACTGATTGCCCTGTTCTGCTGAGCATCAGGTAACGGAGTTGCCTGGCATTTAGGAACTGTGATGCTTGTTATCACAGAATTTCCATGGAAACATGTCTGGGATTTATGAAGGTATTTCCAGAAAAGATTAACTGAAAAGTCTCACCCTTAATGTAGGTGGTACCATCCCACAAGCTGAAGTTTTAATTTTTTAAAAAAGATATATTTTATGTGTATGAGTGGTTTGCTTGCATGTATATCTGTTTGTTTATATGTGCATATGCATGTGCATGCATGTGTGTGTGTGTGTCTGTGCAGCTGGTGCCTATGACAGTGTATGGTCCCCTGGGACTGTAACAGATAGTTGTGAGTCATTATATGCATGTTAGGAACCTAACCTAGGTATTTTGCAAGAACAAGTGCTCTGAACTGCTGGTCATCTCTCCAGCTTCCAAACTGAAGTTTTAGAGGATGAAATAAAGCAGTCACATCAACATTGGTACTCCCTGCTTTCTGACTGTGGATCCAATATGACTAGCAGCCTCCTGTTCCTGCTTCCATGGCATCTCTCTCATAGTGACCTGTACCTGCAAACTATGACCTAGAAGAATCCCTTCCCTCCTTAAATGCATCTTGTCAGGTATTTGGTCATATCAATTAGAAAAATAACAGACACAGGAACCATGCTGTGTATTAGAATTATTCTCAGCATGATAATGTGCTGTTCTGGAGGGAATGGCTCTTCCATGCCCTACTCCCACACTTGCCCTTGTTCCA